GGCTCATGCTTGTAATCCCAGCACTTTGGGAGGTTGAGACAGGTGGATCACCTGAGGTCAGGGGTTCAAAACCAGCCTGGGAAACATGGTGAAACCCTGTCTAAAAAAAAATAAATTTTTTTTCTTTTTTTTTTGAGACGGAGTTTCACTCTTGTTACCCAGGCTGGAGTGCAATGGCGCGATCTCGGCTCACTGCAACCTCCGCCTCCTGGGTTCAGGCAATTCTCCTGCCTCAGCCTCCTGAGTAGCTGGGATTACACGCACGCGCCACCATGCCCAGCTAATTTTTTGTATTTTTAGTAGAGACGGGGTTTCACCATGTTGACCAGGATGGTCTCGATCTCTTGACCTTGTGATCCACCTCCCAAAGTGCTGGGATTACAGGCGTGAGCCACCGTGCCCGGCTCAAAAAAAATAAAAATTTTTAAAGAAAAAATTTGTATCAGAATCTGGTCAAGCTAAAAGATTTAATTATTGATAAACTGGAAATACAGAGAACAAAGAAACATTGTAAACTCTACCATAGGGATACAGTCAGCAAAGCTGAGAATGAACAACAACAACAAAAAAGGATGCGAAGGACCTCTTCAAGGAGAACTACAAACCACTGCTCAAGGAAATAAGAGAGGGAACTAATCGATGGAAAAACATTCCATGCTCATGGTTAGGAAGACTCAATATTGTGAAAATGGCCATACCACCCAAAGTAATTTATAGATTCAATGCTATCCCCATCAAGCTATCATTAACTTTCTTCACATAATTAAAAAAATTAAAACCTTAAATTTCATATGAAATCAAAAAAGAGCCTGTATAGCCAAGAAAATCTTAAGAAAAAAAAAAGGGCTGGACGCAGTGGCTCACACCTGTACTCCCAGCACTTTGGGAGGTCGAGGTGGGTGGATCACAAGGTCAAGAGATCGAGACCATCCTGGTCAACATGGTGAAACCCCGTCTCTATTAAATATACAAAAATTAGCTGGGCATGATGGTGCATGCCTGTAATCCCAGCTACTCAGGAGGCTGAGGCAGAAGAACTGCCTGAACCCAGGAGGTGGAGGTTGCAGTGAGCCGAGACTGTGCCATTGCACTCCAGCCTGGGTAACAAGAGTGAAACTCCGTCTCAAACAATAGAAAAGAAAAAAAAAAAGCTGGAGGCATCACTCTACCTGACTTCAAACTATATTACAAGGCTACTATAATCAAAACAGCATGGAACTGGCACCAAAACAGAGATATAGAACAATGGAATAGAACAGAGGCCTCAGAAAGAATGCCACACAACTACCCACCATCTTATCTTTGACAAACCTGGCAAAAACAAGCAATATGGAAAGGATTCCCTATTTAATAAATGGTGTTAGGAAAACTGGCTAGCCATATGCAGAAGGCTGAAACTGGACCCCTTCCTTACACCTTATACAAAAATTAACTCTAGATGGATTAAAGATTTAAACATAAGACCTAACACCACAAAAACTCTAGAAGAAAACCTAAGCACTACCGTTCAAGACAGAGGCATGGGCAAGGACTTCACGACTAAATCAGCAAAAGCAAAGGCAACAAAAGCCAAAATAGACAAATGGGGTCTAATTAAACTTAACAGCTTCTGCACAGCAAAAGAAACTATCAATAGAGTGAACTGGTATCCAACAGAATGGGGAAAAAATTTTGCAATCTACCTGTCTGTCAGTGGGCTAATATCCAGAATCTACAGAGAACTTAAACAAATTTACAAGAAAAAAACAAACAACACTATCAAACAGTGGGCAAGCGATACTTTTCAAAAGAAGACATTTATGCAGTCAATAAACATATGAAAAAAAGCTTATCACCGGTCATTAGAGAGATGCAAATCAAAACCACATTGAGATACCACCTCAGAACAGTTAGAATGGCGATCATTAAAAAATCAGGAGACAACTGATGCTGGAGAGGATGTGGAGAAAAAGGAGGGCTTTTACACTGTTGTTGGGTGTGTAAATTAATTCAACCACTGTGGAAGACAGTGTGGCGATTCCTCAAGAATCTAGAAATAGAAATAGCATTTGACCCAGCAATCCCATTACTGGGTATATACCCAAAGGATCATAAATCATTCTATTATAAAGACACATGCAATGTATGTTCATTGCAGCACTGTTCACAATAACAAAGACTTGGAACCAACCCAAATGCCCATCAATAATAGATTCAATAAAGAAAATGTGGTACATATACACCATGGAATACTATGCAGCCATAAAAAAAGATGAGTTCGTGTCCTTTGCAACAACATGGATAAAACTGGAAACTATCATTCTCAGCAAACTGACACAAGAACAGGAAACCAAACACCGCATGTTCTCACTCATAAGTGGGTGCTGAACAACGAGAACATACGGACACAGGGAGGGGAATATCACACACCAGGGCCTGAGGGGTAGGGGGCTAGGGGAAAAATAGCAGGAGGTGGGGGAATTGGGGAGGGATAGCATTAGGAGAAATACCTAATGTAGATGATGGGGCAATGGATGCAGCAAACCACCACCATGGCACATGTATATCTATGTAACAAACCTGCACGATCTGCACATGTACTCCAGAACTTTAAGTATAATTTTAAAAAAAGAAAAAAAACCTCTACCAGTCACATCATCCACTTTCCTCAATAAATAAATAACATGAAAATGGGAAGGATAAATTAGGTACTTATAGATTAAAAGAGACTTAAAAGAAATATCAAAAAAGGCAAATCGAACTGTAGTGTCTGAGTATATACATTTGTATAATAAAACTATACAGAAAATTGTATAGGTTATTACAGTAAATGTCACAATAGAAGTTACATTGAGAGGTGGAGGAAGTCATTTGTGATTGAAAAGGGGGAGGTAGGCTTTCTGGGTTGGCTGGCAAATTTCTGTTAACTTGGATGGTTGTTACAAGTGTGTTTCCCTTCTCCTAAGTCAATAAGCTATAATTTTTTAGTGTGACTTTTTGTGTTTGTGCTATATTTTACAATAAAAAGTATTTTTAAAGGAGGAAACAGATTGAATTGAACAATGGTTAGATGTTACCTACACTCTTTTTTAAAGGTTTTGATGAGGAAAATTGTCTCATTTACTGATGAACTCTTAGGCAGAGAGACTGGAGACAAGCATCTCATCACACAAACCAAAACATTTTTGTCCAAGGCCAATCTCTCTGGAAACAATCTGGTCAGTGCCTCTCTCTCTCTCTTGGGTTGACCTGGGACCCCCAGCAATGATGGCTTATGAGGGCATTCACAGACTGTTTCTCATTTCTCCTTTATGATTCTAACAGTGAGGTAATCCTCTGTTCTCTGAGATATCACTAAGTAGCAGTCATGCCCATATGCTCATGACCAATGCATTTGACTCAGGTGAAAGAAAAATCCTAGATGTCCCTGCTTCCCTGCATGAATTACCTTATGTGAACATGACTGCCAAAACCTTGACGGGTTCTCCCAGAAATGTCCCTTGTAGGTTCACAGAATGTCCAAGAAGTCTCCCGCACTTGTGTGGAGTATTGTCCAGGGTCTCTCTGCACATTCCACCTCTCAATTCTTCCTGTTTATTGTGAATAACCATGCACATTCTCTTTATGTCACTGCACATAATGAAGCCATAACCAGAGGCAAAAAGAATGAAGGCGTTTGGTATCTAAAGGTTTGGAAACACTACAGAACTAGTAAAATAGTGGCAGCCCCAGAAAGAAAACATTGAGGGTACAAGTCTATCTTTTTTTTCTTATCCCTAAAGTCTGGAGAACACAATTCTCAAGTTATAAATCAGGTACTCGGTTTTATAATATTTAGCTTTGTTGTTGGATTTATTTAACCTGCAACTATGTGACACCATCTTGTACTAAGCAGATTGTTTGGACAGAACAATCTTTTTAGGTATGTCATAAAACCTGAATTCATAAAAGGAAAAGGTGGCAAATTTGAGTACATGAAGACTAAAAACAGATTTAGAGGAATAAGTTTATTTTTTCTATCACAGTTTGCACTAAATTAATTAACAAACAAGATCACTGAGGCTTTGGCTCAACTGTTAACACTTTCTGAGTGAGATTCTTTTGATTAGGGTCTTAAGGTCTTTGTTCATCTCAGAGGTCCTAATTGATTTAATTAGGCTGACTCCTACATCCCTGTCTCATTACCATAAATTGAAGAGGGGTTCAACAGGACACTGATTGTTTCTTAGACCAAAGCCAGCGCCAGCAGTGAGTAGGGTTCCAGGCCCCCCGAAATGAGGCAGGAAAACCCGAGGCCTGTGGACGCAGGGCGTACTCTGGGGAGGTGCTGGTGAGTAGCGGAGGTACACCCAGAATGCAGTTGGTTGGTAAAACAAGAGTGATCTGAGTGCTGTGTTTGTCTGTGTGATCCACCATTGAATGGTAAGCCAGCCATTGTGCAGGCATCTGCATATGAAGTGACTAGAAGCTTCATTGAAATAAGGATCTCCTTGGAAATTCTCTCCCCCCACACAGCCAGGGTGCTTAACATGAAAAGAAGTTGTAACCCTATCCTTAAACTATAGAAGCTATTAGCAGAAGCTACAGGCTTATGGGGGCCCACTGGAAAGGGAAAATCAAAAGGCCTGCGGATTTCAAATTAATAAGTGATCTTAAGTTGCATTTCCTAAGTTCAGCTACAAACTCATATATTTGTTGAGTCCCTCCCTACTCACTCCTTATCTCTCCCTTCAGTTATTGGGTTTCTGGATATCCGTCTAGTTAACCCTTATCATGCCTCCCATTTGTTCAATAGGAATGTTCACTTTTACTTGAATCTTTTTAGTAGAATTGTAAATCATGTGTGCCTGTCTAGGTTTAATCATCAGATTTTGGTCAAACTGCTCTGCCAGATCGTGTGAACAAAAAAGTGAATGGAAATTTTCGTTTTAAAAAATAGTACTTTTGGACTTAGTCCCTGGCTGAGAAGTAAGGAGGCCAAGCGTACGGATGGCAGCGAGGGGTCAATCCACCCCCGGCGTTGGGTCGGGGGTGGAGGAGTCGGAAGTGGTTGGGGTTTGGGGGAGGAGATCGGCTCACACACAAGAGGAGAGTGTTGAGCCGCCATATCTGCTGCTGCCGCCGCAGTTGCGAATGCAGCATCGGCGCTTAGCTGCTTTCACGGTGCCGCTAAGGTTCGCGTCGCTACCCCTTGGCCCTTCGCTCTTGCTGCCTTAACCCCGCCGGCGGAGCCCGCTCTTTCTGGCCTGTTGAGCCCGCTCCCTCACTGCCACACAGCAAGTCTTGAGACCATGGATTCGGGCAGCAGCAGCAGCGACTCGGCGCCCGACTGCTGGGACCAGGTGGACATGGAAGCCCCGGGGTCCAGCGGGGATGGAGTCTTCTCTGCGGTGGCCGAGGCCGGGCGCGAGCCCCTCAGCTCGGCTTTCAGCCGTCAGCTCAACGTCAACGCCAAGCCCTTCGTGCCTAACGTACATGCCGCGGAGTTCGTGCCGTCCTTCCTGCGGGGCCCGACTCAGCCGCCCACCCCGCTGGCCGGCTCCGGCCGCAACGCTGAAACCTGCACCGGCGCGGGATACCCTCAAGGTAAAAGGATGGGACGGGGGGCACCTGTGGAAACTTCCCGAGAGGAACCGTTAGTGTCGCTTGAAGGTTCCAATTCAGCCGTTACCATGGAACTTTCAGAACCTGTTGTAGAAAATGGAGAGGTGGAAATGGCCCTAGAAGAATCATGGGAGCACAGTAAAGAAGTAAGTGAAGCCGAGCCTGGGGGTGGTTCCACGGGACATTCAGGGCCCCCAGAAGAAAGTGGTCAGGAAATGATGGAGGAGAAAGAGGAAATAAGAAAATCCAAATCTGTGACCGTACCCTCAGGTGCTCCTAAGAAAGAACACGTAAATGTAGTATTCATTGGCCATGTAGACGCTGGCAAGTCAACCATCGGAGGACAGATAATGTTTTTGACTGGAATGGTTGACAAAAGAACACTGGAGAAATATGAAAGAGAAGCTAAGGAGAAAAACAGAGAAACCTGGTATTTGTCCTGGGCCTTAGATACAAATCAGGAAGAACGAGACAAGGGTAAAACAGTCGAAGTGGGTCGTGCCTATTTTGAAACAGAAAGGAAACATTTCACAATTTTAGATGCCCCTGGCCACAAGAGTTTTGTCCCAAATATGATTGGTGGTGCTTCTCAAGCTGATTTGGCTGTGCTGGTCATCTCTGCCAGGAAAGGAGAGTTTGAAACTGGATTCGAAAAAGGTGGACAGACAAGAGAACATGCGATGTTGGCAAAAACTGCCGGGGTAAAACATTTAGTAGTGCTTATTAATAAGATGGATGATCCCACAGTAAATTGGAGCATCGAGAGATATGAAGAATGTAAAGAAAAACTGGTACCCTTTTTGAAAAAAGTCGGCTTCAGTCCAAAAAAGGACATTCACTTTATGCCCTGCTCAGGACTGACCGGAGCAAATATTAAAGAGCAGTCAGATTTCTGCCCTTGGTACACTGGATTACCATTTATCGCATATTTGGATAACATGCCAAACTTCAACAGATCAATTGATGGACCAATTAGACTGCCAATTGTGGATAAGTACAAGGATATGGGCACTGTGGTCCTGGGAAAGCTGGAATCTGGGTCCATTTTTAAAGGCCAGCAGCTTGTGATGATGCCAAACAAGCACAATGTAGAAGTTCTTGGAATACTTTCTGATGATACTGAAACTGATTTTGTAGCCCCAGGTGAAAACCTCAAAATCAGACTGAAAGGAATTGAAGAAGAAGAGATTCTTCCAGGATTCATACTTTGTGATCCTAGTAACCTTTGCCATTCTGGACGCACCTTTGATGTTCAGATAGTGATTATTGAGCACAAATCCATCATCTGCCCAGGTTATAATGCGGTGCTGCACATTCATACTTGTATTGAGGAAGTTGAGATAACAGCCTTAATCTCCTTGGTAGACAAAAAATCAGGAGAAAAAAGTAAGGCACGACCCCGCTTTGTGAAACAAGATCAAGTGTGCATTGCACGTTTAAGGACAGCAGGAACCATCTGCCTCGAGACGTTCAAAGATTTTCCTCAGATGGGTCGTTTTACTTTAAGAGATGAGGGTAAGACCATTGCAATTGGAAAAGTTCTGAAACTGGTCCCAGAGAAGGACTAAGCAATTTTCTTGATGCCTCTGCAGATACTGTGAGGAGAATTGACAGCAAAAGTTCACCATCCACTCTTATTTACTAACCATTGACTGACTTTTCTTCATATTTTGCAAAGAAAATTTCACAGCAAAAATTCATGTTTTGTCAGCTTTCTCATGTTGAGATCTCAGTTATGTCACTGTTGAATTTACCCTCAAGTTTCCTTCCTCGGTACCACTCTGCTTCCTTGGACAATTATCAGTAATAGCTTTCTAAGTGATGTGGACATAATTGCCTATAGTAATGAGAAATTAATGTACTTTAATTTTTCATTTTCCTTTAGGATATTTAGACCACCCTTGTTCCACGCAGACCAGTCAGAGTGTGTCAGTGTTTGTACATGTTAAAATGATAACTAACATGTGAATAAAATACTCCATTTGAAACTCTATGGTTATTTGAAATGCTTTTGAATAATGTTTAAATTTCATTATGTAATGCTATTCAATTAGCTTTATTACTTTCTCAAATAGTTGAATATGTTCTATCACTTTTAAAAACTCTTCGCCACTTACTGTTTTAAGTGAGGAATTTACAAACAATGCATAAATGAATTAAAGGAAAAAATTTTAATTTTGAGAAAAACTTATGTTAAGGCTCTTCCCAGTGAGCTTTGTTTTCTCTGTCTAAGTCCAGTCAATAAAGGAGCTCTTCTGCTTCCCAACTTGTGATTTGAAAATGAAAGACTCAGGCTGTCTTTATTTGCATAGCAGTAGCTCACTCAACATTATCCATAGGTTCTTGAAGACTGCAACATTAAGCAAAACAATGTATACCACGTATACAAACAATGTACGACATTGTTCAGTGTTGTTTAGTTACAACATTGATGAGGTGAAAAAAATTCGTTTAGTTAGGTGTTATTTCACTTCAAATCACAATTTCCAAGAACCAGTGGACAATGTTAAGTGAGGACTTACTGTGTTCCATCAGGTCCCATCATGTTGAGCATGGCCAAATTACAAATACGCCTGGGGATTCAGACCATATGTTGAAAAGACCCCCCCCTTTTTTTTGAAGACAGTATCTCACTCTGTCACCCAGGCTGCAGTGCAGTGGCACAGTCATGGTTCACTGCAGCCTCAAACTCGCAGGCTCAAGGGATCATCCCACCTTAGCCTCCCAAAGTGCTGGGATTGCAGGTGTGAACCACTGTGCCCAACCTTGACTAGACTTATCTGTACTCCGTCATCTTAATAAACACAGCTCTTGGTTTTGTTCCTCGTGAAACTTGCATATGGGACACCACACAATAAGAGGTATGGCTATTGAGAAGATAAATGCTTGTAATATGGTCATTGGTCACTGAGTAAAAACTAAAGTTAGTGACACCTAGGCTGGGAAATGAGATTATTTCACCCTTGTATCTTTCGTGCTTCGGTTGGCAGGAAAGGGGGAAGTCATTTTTATAATCAGATCAGGACCTACACTTGGGGTCAGAGGCACTGGATATTTCTCTGAACAACTTCTTGAGGAAAACACCAATTATGGATTCTGAGGTGGCTAAATTATTGCCTTATAACCTGCATATAACTGTCAACAACTAAGGAACCTTCTGTCTTGTTAAGTGGGTAGTGCCTTAGGCACAGCAGTATAACTGGCATGAGAGACAGTTTGCTTTGTTTTCAGACCTCATGGGCTCATTCATGCTCAGATAAAGGCAGTGTCTCCTTCTACATTGTCCCCTTTGTGTGCACATATACCTCCAGGGTGTTTAACCTGTCAGAGATAGCCACACTCATCTGGTAGGATCATCAATTAGTATCAGTGCTGTACTGTGAATTATCCATAGTAGGTCTTCAGAGCACCCATGTGGGAAATGAGGATTTTTATTTTGTCATACATCAGCTAACTGATCCACATGGATATGCCTCATACATCTCGGACTCAGTTTTTTAATCATTAGAATGTCAGTGGTAAGTTTCATTTTTATCATAAGAGCTCTATGCACTGAACTTCATACAACATACACACCAATCCAGTACTTGGTACGTTTTGCCCTAGAAGCCACTTTGTAAAAAACTTTTTGCTGCTGCATCAATCTCATTGTTTTGCAATTTCAGTAATTTACTAATAGTAATTTGTGGCTGTCTTCCACTGATAGGCCAAAACCACAAGCCAGTACAGAACTCTTTGTCTCCATCCAATTTGGATGATTTCCCATCAAAAACTGGCTCCTAAATCTCTTTCTCATTAGCCAATTGTTTAGCAATTTCCCTACCAGAAGTTTTGAACTGTTTATAAAAACCTTCAGAGAAAAATACGCTTTTTGGAAATAGATTTTAGAAACCAATTCTTTGCATTTCAGTGAGAAGTAGATCTTCCAGGTGCTTGGAGACATGGGACTGTCTCTTTGAGAAAGTATGTTTCTCAAAACATACCGAACTCACGGTAACATTTCTTTCCACCTTCCTGGATACATTTCTTTATAGTTGTTAATATCTGACGTGTTCTCCAATACTCCAAATTGGGGCCATTCACAGAGTACTGGTTTCCCTAGGGCATCCAACTATTTATAAAACCGTGTTCAGGCCAGTTTCCCTTCAGAGATCCCATATTTTCTCTAATTCAAGTCAGTTTGATTTAAATGTCCTCAGAGCTTCATCTCTAATTCCCAGCAGCCAAGATAATATGGAGTCTTCTCAAATCTGGTTGCACACTGTAAGTACTTTATGAGCTTCCTACTTCACACTTTCTTAGTGTCTACCTATTTGTTCTTGGTAATAGTTTTACCAATTTTCCTTTATTCCTAGTCATTATGGGACAAATCTGAGGAGATTTAAGGAAAGGGGCCAACTTACTCTGTATGTCAGCAAAAACCTGAAAAGGAAAAAAGGGGGAGTGCTTGGGCCGGATGGAAGGTAGTAAACCACACTGCTCACTTTCAGTATCTTTCCCTAGTACCTGGGAAAAACAGCCATTGCTTTTACTATCCACTAAGGCCTCTGTTCCTGTCCTCAAAAGACAAATCCTCTCTCAAAATAGACCCTCCTTTCACAATATCATGATTTTGATTCATTGCAGTGCAAGCACTTGCCCTTTTTATTATTTACTTATAAACATTTTGCAGTATACATACTCATTTTGGTAAAAATGAAAGTGTAAACAAACTATCCACAACTAGAGAAGTTCTGTCAAAACCTGAGCATTTGAGTTGTTCCAGTGCCTGTTTTCATGTCCAATATTACTCTTTCTATATTTTCTGTTAAGACTATTGCCCTATTTTTAATTTTTCTAGTTTTCAATTACAGTATCTACTCATTGGCCATTGAGGGGAAGGAGAATTTGAGCCAAGGCTTCTCCCCAGGGGCACCACTTGTTACTTCCACAGAATGGGGAATTTAGACCTACCTTAGAATTTGGAAGAGGCTTTTTCTTTCTTTTGTTTTGTTTTGTTTTTGAGACGGAGTCTCACTCTGTCACAGACGCTGAAGTGCAGTGGTACGATCTTGGCTCACTGCAACCTCTGCCTCCCTGGTTCAGGCAATTACCTACCTCAGCCTACCGAGTAGCTGGGATTACAAACACCTGCCACCACGCCCGACTAATTTTTGTATTCTTAGTAGAGACAGGGGTTTCACCATATGGGCCAGGCTGGTCTTGAACTCCTGACCTCGTGATCCATCTGCCTCGGCCTCCCAAAGTGCTAGGATTTACAGACATGAGCCACCGCTGCATGCCAGGAGAGGCTTTTTCAAAGCGCCTCGTGTGTGTGTCTGTGTGTGTGTGTGTGTGTGTGTGTGTTCAGCAAATAACCAAAATCAGCAAAGGAAAGGGAAAAGAAAAGAAGAACCTGCTGAGTAAATGTGCCATGTATCAGAACAAACAAGCGAACAAAAGCTTTACTTACATACAGAAGACATAGCTTACAACGTTACACTACGGCTCCTGGAAAATACTGAATATTGGCCCCACACACAGTTCAATCCTGCACTAGACTATGCCAAATGGTTTTAGAGAAAATTTGTCTAAACTCTAGGGAGCGTCTCTTTTCCTACACTTAGCCTTTAAAAATTCTATAATTTCTTTTTATAAATCAGTGTTGATAAAAGCTTCAGGCTCTGAGACTCAGACATCAATCAAAAGGAATTTCATTTCTGCAAAGCCCCTTGTTTTCTCCTTAGATTAATATGAAACACTAATATTAAATTTGCATAAACATAATTTGCAGACATGTCTCAGGCCTCTAAAGAAGATGTTTCTCAGCCAGGCGCGGTGGCTCAAGCCTGTAATCCCAGTTCTCTGGGAGGCTGAGGTGGGTGGATCACAAGGTCAAGAGATCCAGACTATCCTGGTCAACATGGTGAAACCCCGTCCCTACTAAAAAAATACAAAAAATTAGCTGGGCATGGTGGCGTGTGCCTGTGATCCCAGCTACTCAGGAGGCTGAGGCAGGAGAATTGCCTGAACCCAGGAGGCGGAGGTGGCGGTGAGCTGAGATGGCGCTATTGCACTCCAGCCTGGGTAACAAGTGAAAGTCCGTCTCAAAAAAAAAAAAAGAAGATGTTTATCTCTTTGCTGAACTTTTTCCAAAGTCCAAGCAGATAACATTGACACTTGACCTTGGTTTTGGTATACAAGTACAGAAAAGTGTTTGTTCATAGTCAGGTTGCTGTACACAATCATGCCATTACGTCTCTCACCTGGTAAGATATATGTACAAAATATATGCATCTGTAGCCCTTCTTTCACATTTGGGTCATTGAGTAACAGAAACTTACATGAATCATTTCCTCCTGAGACTGCCTTTACTTGTTCTATGGCAGTGTAACAGTGAACTTTTGCCAAACCAATAAATTCACAAAAGGACACTTTTGTCACATGGCAAGTGACCAAAAAATACCCCAAATAGCTTCTGCAGATTTAGCTGGCAGTTCCTGGGTTCAGTGTTAGTGTTTGATCTCCATCCTTGAATTTCTTTTTTCTCTCTTCTTTAATTGATGCTTCTATCACTTTCTAAACTGTCTTAACTTATTTTGTCAGTTAGGTAGTGTGTAAATGAATGGTGAAATCAAATGTATCATTACTTTTTTTTTTTTTTTTGAGCCAGAGTTTGGCTCTTGTCACCCAGGCTGGAGTGCAATGGTGCAATCTTGGCTCACTGCAACCTCCGCCTCCCGGGTTCAAGTGATTCTCATGCCTCAGCCCCACAAGTAGCTGGGATTACAGGCATGCACCTCTGCGCTCATCTCATTTTGTATTTTTAGTAGAGATGGGGTTTCACTATGTTGGTCAGGCTAGTCTCGAACTCCTGACCTTAGGTGATTAGCCCACCTTGACTTCCCAATCATTACATTTTTTAAACATCCAAAGGCATAGTTCTTGAGTGATGTTAATAACACAATGCTCCATCCGCAACCACAGTCATCAGTGCGTGCTAAATTAA